ACCACTGTAAGCCCCAGGCTTCGCCCGTCCCTATGCCCCCTGGGAGGCTTCGTTAGGACGTAAAACCAATACTACTTATTACTACTACTTAATGAGACGTGTGCAGGCGCGCGAGTGGATGGTCGGGTCAGTAGGGATGTACTGTAGTTGGTAAGGTCGGGTGCGGCGGGTGTGGATGAGGAGATGGGGGTGAGGTGGTCGTGATGTGGATTGGGAATTGGTTGGTGAGGTGGTGTGATAATGGGGGTCGGGGATTCGGCAGGTGTAAGCGGCTCGGAGGGATGGGCGGTACGGCGCGAGATGCGAGATGCGAAATGTGAGATGAAGACTACATTGATTGCGCATGGTATTGCATTTGTGTTTGTTGCAGAAATATTGCTGAGTTGGTGTTGGTGGTAGTGTAATGAGGCCATGTAGTAGATCATGTGCACTAGTAGTGTCTGTCGTATGATGTTCTTTGCATCGCCATGGTTTCTATTGCAATTAAGTTGAACATTGTGTAGAGCAAAGCTTCGTTATCACAAAAGTAAATCACTTTGCACTGCCAGTAGCTCTCTGGATTTGAACAAGTGGAACTTTATTCCTGTATTATGTACTACTAGTAGGACTATGTAAACAACAGAGTCCTATGGAGTGGAAACTTTTATCGCTGAATGTCTATCTCAGTATTCGAGGAGCTTGCTGCGCGCTCAACTCGAGCAATCTACAAAACGGATCGAAACGCCATGATAACAAATGAAAGAGGCGAGCGTAAAGGAAAGCAACGCCTAGAAAACCAAGTGCAAACGGGGGTATATCCTACGTAGTCCAAAAGTGATGATTGCAAGTAAAAATCAGACAATGGCTAAGTAAGGAAATTCGTGAATCGTCCGCTGGAGCGTGGCGAGTGGGGTATAAATAACGCAAGGAGAAGGGATTCCAAAACTACTGCTCAAGGCTGAAGCTGCCAGACCGAGAGCTCATATTGGAAAAGGGGTACTCGCATTCTTCGACGTAGGTGGGCGGGCTGACCGGAACATCTTCGTAGAGCGGCGGCTGCTCCTCATCCCAAGCAATACCCATGCCTGATCGCTCGGTAAGGACCAGGTGGAATTGGGTACGGAGAACACGGGCAGCGCCGGTGGGGGTAGCTTGACTGAGCTTCTTGAGTGGCGCCCATTCCTCGGCGACAACCATTTCGATGATCAAGTTGTGCTTGATGCTCATGCCGTTTGAGCTTTCTAGATCGCAAAGAGGCTTCATGGCCATGTTGCAGGCCGCCTGGAATTCGACATCGATCTCGCCCTTTTCAAAGTCGGTCTTCCAACCCGTCTTGACCTCTTCGTTGGCAATGGCACGGACATCCTCGTGGAGAACACCCTTGCCCTCACCACCAACCTTTGAAATGTGCTTGGCGCAAGCTGGGGAGATGAACTTTTGCGTCTCTTCAATGCGCCAGTTGAGTTTGCGCAGTCTCCATCGTGTTTGCGAGTCTGTCTTGTTTTGAACGATTCCGGAAAGGCGCATTTCAATGGGAAAATCGCCGATAGGGTGGATTACTGGCGGCAGTTTGACGGAAGCTGTAAGATTGGTTGGTGGGAAGATGCGGATAGAATGCTTTTCCGCACCAGGGAAAATAGCACGCTTGATGTCCAGATTGCGCTTGTAAGTAATCTTGCCTGATGAGGTGATAGCAACGGCGGACAGGTAGTAGTCAACCGTAGCCAGGCTGCCATGTGTGGTAGCTGGCAAGTGACCTGGCAGCAGGTGACTGAAGGGAAAGTTGTGGGGACCGTGACGCAGCGAGACGGGATGGGTCAGAAACTCCCACTTGTGGATTTCAGTCGTCTGAGTGGTGCAGTCTGGGCAATGTGGGGCCACGGGCTTCTTGGTGGTCACAATGGCCAGCATGCGCATTTCAAACTTGTCAACGGTGATGAAGGGGTCGTGTACGTTGATGACGAGCTGGCCAGAGAAAATGGCACCGGTCGATGTCTGGGGGCTGTTGTAGAAGACGATGGGGGGAGACTCTACGCTCATGTTCATGGAAGCTGCGCCCTGGGCCTCGAGCTTGGGCGTCTTCTTTGCATCTTCCTTTTCTTTGGCATGCTTGTCATGCTTGTGGCGGTTGAAGATGTCCATGACCAGAGATTCCTCTGACTTTGACTTTGCCTTGACACGTGGGGCGTCGTAAGAATAGACCGGGGGCAGTAGACCTTCGGCGTGTGGCTTGGTGGAATCCGATTTAGGAAGTGGTGTAGGAGCCACCCTCGCAAGGGTACTGAGCAGACGGCCTGGCATTCTTTGCAAGAGAATCCGGGGTAGGGCTGCGAGTGAGCGACGTGAGTGGACGGCTGGCAGCGAAGATAGCAGAGATGGGTTGCGGAGATGTGTGGGCGAGATAAGGAATTGTCCAATGGGGGCAAGGGCGTGGGCCGACAAGCGATATGCAGGCGGAAGGCGTGGAGTGCAGCAGGTAGGTGCTTAGGAGTTGACTTTGTGTGAGTTGAGGTGGTTAATGAGATGTTGAGGCAGGAACATTGCAGGCTATCAGGAAACGGCCAAACTGGAGGCTGGGGAAGGACGACGTCTTATTTAAGAGAGGTGGTGACTGGTTTTACATGAGAGAAATTCCCTGACTGGGCTGCCTCATGGAAGCGGTGCATGATTTCATCGGTAGTGGCACGAGCAGGGATTTTTCTCGTACTCGGGCTAGACGCTTGCGGCAAGCACATGCCTGCATCTGAGTGTAATTTTTGGGTCAGGAGGCAGGCGCGCACGGCCTGCCGCTCACGAGATCGCCGGTGAACCCAGCGGGCGTGCCTGCCTGTCCTGCCTGGCGTGCCTGCCGGCCCAAAAGACGTCAACAAACAAGCGAGGGTGAGGGCGAGCAAACTCCGGCCGAGTCCCGTGACCATGATGACCTCTACACCCGGCAACCTGCCCATTTCCCATTGATCAATTGCACACACGCCCTACGCTGCTGACATGCCCTCCTCAGCCCCTATGCTCATCTTGCCGCCGACTTCAGTCTTGCCGAAATGTCGCGACCTCGGGCCCCGGCTACGCCGCAGCTCGCTGCCAGCGGATGGTCCGTCGGCACCGTCGTGGCTCGACGTCGGGGAGCCTCATGTCGCTCGCCGGCGGCCATCCATCCCACCACGCATCAGCAACCTGGTCGACGAGCACCACTGACGTCTCCACCCGCCAAACTCTGGGGTGTTCATCATGCCAAAACAGCGGCACGCTGCCCGCCCTCTGGACATTATTCGCTGACGCACATGTGATGTCCTCTTCCCCGCAACCCTGGTCTTGTGCCTGTCGCCAAAAAATCCTCTGTACTATGCGATCTGGGGACGCGCAATTGAGCATCTCCTCGGCCATGGCATCATCGCAACCGCCCTTGCCTACCACCTTTCCCATACATATCCGTAGCCTGCAGCCGCTCTCAGCACATCACGCTCACCTGCACTGTCCCTCGCACCCACATGACACGTTGTATGCGTCCATGGTGGCTCTATGCGAATTGTGCATCGTCTTCACCGTCGTCGCTGACATGTGTTGGCCATCCATGGTGCCCATGCCAAGACGCGCCGTTAGGTAACACAGCGAATTTTTCCCTCGCATCCTGGGCCAACCACAGCCGCTGACTGGCCTCCCCACTCCACTCAGATCTTTTACAGTCTCTTTACACATTTTGGCGGCCCCGGCCCGATGCTGGCTGAGACTCAGGTTGCCTCGTGTCAAAAAAAGCACCCACTTGTTGAGAGACCAGACTGTTCTACATTACTCGATGGAAACCTCCACGACCACGCACTAGCGCCAATCACGCAACTGATTCCGCGTCGCAGCAATCCGCCAGCCATCACGTGGGCCGCGTGCAAGACGTCTTTGGAGCAATTCCTTGCGAATCTTGCAACGTCGCGCTTATTCATCTGTAGCCCTGCCGCTTGAACGGTGACCGCACTTTGCCAATGTCCGTAATTCCGTACTGCCAATGTACATCTACCAAGGTCGCTGGCTCGCCATGACCAGATCGGGAAATTCATCAGCATGCGCTGCATGCCCCTGGTCGGTCCCGACCACTGGAGCCCGTGGGTCCCACATATGGTTCCCTCACCTGTTCCGAGGCGAATTCCGAGTACCGTACCTCGTTCCCGTCGGATATCCATCACGGGTTTGCTCACCACGCGACACGCAACTTGGGAGTCATCATATCGTATAATTACGCCATCCAAATCACCGCAAACGTGCCATGGCACCATGATGGTCAAACTCGCTCACGTCTCACCGCCAATCTGCTCCACTGTACAAAGGTTGTAAATGTATGTACAGGTATCTCGTCGTGTCTAGAACATGGCTGGACGTTTTCCATCACCCTGCGTCGCGGCTCCCAAGTGCCGCTTCAGGGCGCTGCGTCCATGACCCGCGACGGGCCGACTAGAAATAACCTTCTCGAACCATCCCATTGTGGCACATCCCAATTTATGCCAATCACATGGCGAATAACCCCTGTGGCGCTCCTCAGGTCGGGGATCTTCACCGGCAGTCTAGTAGTATTACTAGTAGTAAGCATATGGCTGCACGCCTTGATGAGTATTCGAGAACTTGTGAATTTCATCGGTCGCACATCCGGTGAAAGTTACAGCATCCCAACAGCACAAAATCGACCCTGCGGGCCTCCGTTCTCCTAACCCAAACACATCATGAGATAATTCAAGGTGGGTATGCCAACATGACGCGTGGCACTCAAAGTGCGTTGTCTCGATGTACTTTTGCATTTTGACGCCCTGTGACATGTGGATCTTTACCATGCGAACAAATCACTGTCTACACACTAACATGTCCGGAACAAGTCACTAGTGCCCGCAACCAAGTAGTAGCACCAAGATCGTTGCCGGCGATCTACCGTGCAGGAAAAAAAAAGCGTGCGGCAACCCATTCTTCCTGCCCACTGTACTGTTTCAGCCACAAGCTTTCTTTGAACAACAAATAGGCCAGCAAAGCAGCCCTTATACCGCTCATTGCAGCAACGTTGCTTTACCGGTGGGCGAATAGTTTCTCTTTTCTCTCGAGATGCAGAATTTCCACTCTTTTTCCCCTTCACCATAATGTGTAAATTGCGGGCCTCTTACGACGACTAACATGTATAACAAGACGTATGTCAAGCTTCTGCTCGCGCAATCATTGGTCAGTTGCGGAAAAAAATCATTCGAGTACAAGAATCAAGGGACGTGTTTCACATCACCTCACTCCACCATCACCACCCACCTGTTTGTCATAAGTATGTTCAAAAAAGCAACCCAGAACGACATTACACACAACCTACAGACCCGCTGAGCTGAGACGGTGAGCCTTTTCCCCACATGCAAGGAAGAATGGAACAATCCTTCATGCAAGCTTTCTTCTCTTTCTTGGAAAAAACCTTGTTGCCAATCCATGGGGTCTTAGCTCGTGACGCACGTTGCATCTTGGTTTTTTTTTCTCTTCTCTCCTTCCGCTCGTTTCTCCTGCCTTGCTTGTTAGCTCTGCCGCGGAAGATCGTGCGTGCTACCGTTGAGCATCATGTGGAGTACAAAAATGCAAGGGGGGTCCCGCTCTGAGCGTTGCACTAGTAGGCGCTGGATGTTCACACTGTTTTTCACAACATTATCCCTTTTTGATTATTTTTTCCTTCTTTTTTTTTTTCTCTTCTTAGCGCTAGGATCCACCCCCTACCCTACCTACTCTTTGCATGGAAACAATGTATTCGCCCTTAGGGTCAATCGCGCAATCTTCGAGACAAAAAAAGTGGCAAAACATCATCACATATGGGCTAATTGACAGTAAGCACAAAGATTCATCGTTTTGGCAGATGCATCAATTCATTCGATCGTGCTATGTGCCATGTTGAGTTTTTGACCCTTCCCTTATTTTCCAAACACTAGACTCCATATAATGCAAGCCGTGGTGGTATCTCTAAGTGGAAATGTACATTTACTCGTCATCCTCGTCGGCCTCGTCGTTGACAACGTTGAAGAAGCGGAGCTCGTAGACACCCTTGGAGGTGGAAACAACACGGAGCCAGTCACGGAGCTGCTGCTTCTTGAGGAACTTCTTGGTACTATTGTTGCCATCATGTCAGTTTCCAATTCGAAATTTCCCCACATATGGATGTATAAGCCGAGAAGAACAAAAGAACGTACAGGTACTTGAGGTAGCGACCAGAAAACTCCTGGTGAGCAATGACCTCAATCTTTCCCTCGCCCTGCTGGCTGATCTGGATGGTATCACCGAGGTTACCGGTGCGGCCCTCGACCTTGATGCGGTCGTTGAGGAACTTCTCGAAAGCCTGGATGTCGAAGATCTTGTCGTTGACGGGCTGCGAGCAGTTGATGATGAACTTCTTCGTCACCTTCTGGTTCTTCTTGGCGGCGGCGCTGCGCTTCTATATTCAATGCGTACTTAGCCTACTGTTCTGGGACACACGTGCGCGAGAAAGGCCACACTCAGACTCCGGAGAAGTTGTCTGGTGCTCTCGCGCCGGAGGACAGCAAAGCGGTTGTACGTACGGTGGTAGACATCTTGATGGGATTTTGGGGGGTGAGCGCAAAGAGATGGGTATCCTGCGTCTTCTTTTGAGGTGTTTGGAGGGGTGGAGGAGGGGAGCTGTCGTGAGGCGCGCCGGTCGTTGTTCGCTGTGGGATTGCAAAATGCGACAGTGGGGTACTAGGCTAAATGCGGACTGGCTTGCCAAGTGTTCGACCGAGAACTTATCGATACGCCGACATACATTGACACGAACAGATGATATTGATTGTCGGCTTGAATGCTAGATTTTCATAGCTCAAATTTGCTTAGGAATCTCGGGTCGATAATTTTTGTGTGATTGTGTTATCATTCAAGACCACCACAACATATCCACACATACAAATACACTGTCGCAACATGTTGGCTTGCCTTTGCGCTTCTTTCATTGTCCTAAGCATCATAACTTCCGTCGAGTGTACGCCCAGTAAGCCTTCATCGGCAGTTTCCAGTCCACGTTCCTCAACGCTGGGTCGAAGATGTCAAAATCAACTCCTTGCAACTTATCCAGCCATGCCTGCGTTGCAACACTGGGCATGAAAACCCCAAACGCTTTTTCTACTTCTGCCAGTTGCGCCTCCTGTCCAGTGTTCATCTGCTGCACACTATATTCATGGTCCTCCTCGTGCTGGTGCTCAAAGTCATGACCAAGGGTCCCTTCGGATCGCAACTTATTAAGCATTTCTCGAGCTGTGATGAGATGGTCATTTGCACGTGTGGCCACCGTGAAGACGGCGTCACGGAGACCAGGGGCGGAACCGCCTTGTCGGAATACATCTTCCTCGCGAACGGAGGCTTCAGCCATGACATCAAGCGGGAGGAGAACAGCGCCTTGGGTTGGTCCTGATTGGCCTGTAATGGAGTTGCTAGTACCGAGTGCCTGTTGTTGTGGGAATGCGATGAAAGGAATGCCTCGTAACACTGCCGCGATGCCCATTGCCTTTCCAATGTGTGATGCAATGTGGTCGGTTGTTAGAGATGCTTGCGGCAGTGCAGAAAGGGTCAGGTATAGCATAGTCGAGTATGTGTTCTCAGCATAGCTCTCCAATGCGCTCAGGGTTGGATATGGTGGATTCCCGAGATACTGTTCTCGTGTGTTGATGATGCGATGGAACCAGTTCTTGCTCAACCGTGCTTTCCCATCAGATCGCTCATGCAAATCTTCTGCCGCTTGTGCCAATAGAATGGCTACTGGCTCTTTTGGAGGTGCTCCAGCCAGTGCTTTAGTGATAGTATCCCGCCAAAATTGCATGCGCATCATGCCGATAGTGGGGGTACTGGTCGTATCGGCGACGCGGGCAACGTCGACATTGAAGGCACGGATGGCAAGATAAGCATCGCGGGATGATTGTGGTATGAAAGTTTGCAAAATATGTGAGGGTGTGTCATACGTTCTGCAGGTGGTTAACGAGAGGCTGGCTGTGAGTGGAAAAGATGTAGTCACCTGACTAAATTTGCGCAGTATGCGCGGGCCCTTACAACTTCATCTTCTGAAGGTTTCGCTGCACTATTAAGACGCGAAGAAGCATGGAGAAGCCTGCGCTTGGGCCCTAAGAAGCCTTGCATGCGCCGGAAGGGCCCTGCGCGGAGTCTTGGTGGTAGCATTGAAACTTTTTTTACAGCAATCAAAATTATAGTAGTACAATGCGAACGGCCATTGCACAATACAAAAAACGACAACAATGGGAAGATACCTGTGATATAGGTAGGAAAGAAGTCCAAAAAAACACAGAGTAGTATGAATCGTTTCGGGGTAAGGCACAAAGAGTCGAAGGCGACTGGTTAGTATGTATGACGCTATAATGTCGATCACCCGCACGTTAGGCCATGTGGGCTCGTGAAAGCGCGTCGACGCGTCTAACCACTTCCAAAGCGGCAAAAGTACCAGCGACCAGCAACCGTCACCAACACCATGCAATCTCCACACCCAGACGAGCGACCCCCCAAAAAGCGCCGTTTCTTTACAGAAGATTCCTCGCCAGTACAAGTCCGCTCAAAACCCGCGGACCTCCCTCCATCGTCGTCGCCGTCACCGCCGCCACCACCACCACAGCCTCGGGACAGCGAATCGGCACCAATCGAGGAGATCAGTAATGGAGCGCAGCCAGATTTTGACGGCTTTGATGTCGAAACTCTTCAGGCTATTGTCGGAGAGCTTTCAATCTCCACGCTGCAGAAGTTGAAGGACATCAGCGCAAATAATGTGGAGCGAGGTATGCATGTACTCGGAAGACATTAGAGCCTGTTCTAACATGTGGAAGCCATCAATTTATATTTGGATGGCTCTTGGAACACAATGCCCTCAAGGTCCCCGGCACCAACCCTCCAGTCTCGTCCACAACCTGTCCAGATGACAATAGCGAGTTCGCTCAAGCGCACCGAATCCGACGTTTCGAATGCCCCCACACCCCCATCAGGTTCTTCCACGCCCAAGGTGGTACGCAATATGCCTAGCAAACGGTACATTGGATCGTTTGGCGCCGCTGCATGGGCGACTAAGAGCGGGAGTGGTCTTCTCAAGCACAATGAGAAGGTGCGCATTGAACGTGTGAAGCCGCAGCCTAAATTGAACAAGGCTAAGAAGGTCATTCAACTTAAAAGGCCAGATATTGTGGTGCGATTCATAAACGAAAAAGGAGAAGAGGTTGGAAGGTTGGATCAAGATACAGCATCGTGGGTGTCTGTTCTAGTAGACCAGAATTTGTGTTCGTTTGAAGGCTCCGTTGTATATACTCCGGATAAGCTGCGGACAGGAGACACTATCTATCTGCAACTGCGAGGTTATTTCTTGCGAGGGGCATTTGAAAGCCAGAAGTTTATGAAGCCTGATAACAATCGAGAGATCAACCTATTCGAAGAAAAGGAATCCTCCGAGGAACGAGATCTTCGATTACGGCAGGTCGGCCTCGTTAAGCTGTTTGAGGCTATCAATCTCCATCCTACACACGAAAATGAGACGACTGCGAAGCACCGGCGCCAAGGACTGCTACAGGCAGCAGAGGGTGATGAAAAGAAGGGTGACAAGCCCAAACCAAAAACCAGTACACCAGCAACACCTTCGGCTCCTGCAGATCCTACGTCTTCACCACCACCAGACGAAGTCGAGGAAGGAGAGGAACTTGAGCAGAGCCAATTGGACTCCCTGTACAGGAAGGCGCAATCTTTTGACTTCAATACACCAACCATGGACCCAGCCAGCACTTTCCGTTTGGATCTGCGAAAATATCAAAAGCAAGCCTTGTTTTGGATGGTTAGCAAGGAGAAGGACGAATCAATAGAAGACAGAGAAACGTCAATGCACCCGCTATGGGAAGAGTACCAATGGCCAACTCAGGATGCAGACAATCAGCCCGTACCGGCTGTTGCAGATCAAGCCATGTTCTATGTTAACCCCTACTCGGGCGAGCTGTCACTGGAGTTTCCAAAGCAAGAGCAGAATTGCTTGGGTGGTGTCCTTGCTGATGAGATGGGTCTGGGCAAGACTATCGAGATGCTCAGTCTGATCCACACGCACAGAACGGAGGTTAATAATGCTGAGACGCTGGCTACTCCAAGATCTCTGCCAAAACTTCTCAAGGCCAGTGCTGCCGCTGAACCTGCTCCATATACCACACTCGTCATCGCGCCAATGTCTCTACTGGCGCAATGGCATAGTGAAGCCGAGAAGGCATCTAAGGAGGGTACTTTAAAAGCAATGGTGTACTATGGGTCCGAAAAGGCAGTCAATTTGCAAAAGCTTTGCTGCGCCTCAAACGCCGCCAATGCACCGAACGTCATAATCACCAGCTACGGTACTGTGCTTTCCGAATACAATCAAGTCCTCGCACAAGATGGGAATCGGGGGTCACACGGCGGTATCTTCTCACTGGAATACTTTAGGGTTATTCTCGATGAAGCACATTATATTAAGAACAGGCAGTCGAAGACGGCAAAGGCTTGTTATGAGCTCAGCGCAAAACATCGTTGGGTACTGACAGGAACTCCAATTGTCAACCGCCTCGAAGATCTCTTTAGCCTGGTGCGTTTCCTAAAGGTTGAACCGTGGGCGAATTTCTCATTCTGGAAAACATTCATTACTGTTCCATTCGAGTCTGGCGATTTTGTGCGTGCCCTAAATGTTGTACAAACAGTGCTTGAGCCGCTGGTACTTCGTCGCACCAAAGACATGAAGACACCGGATGGCAAAGCTCTGGTACCATTACCACCGCGGACAATCGAAGTTGAGAAGATTGTGCTGTCTCAAGATGAGCGAGATGTGTACGATCATATATACATGCGCGCGAAGAGTGTATTCAGTGCCAATGCAGAGGCTGGGACATTAATGAAGTCGTATACCACCATCTTCGCTCAGATTCTCCGGCTACGGCAGTCGTGCTGCCACCCGGTCCTCACTCGCAAAGCCAACATTGTCGCTGATGAGGAGGATGCTTCATTAGCCTCTGACCTTGCAAATGGTTTAGCAGACGACATGGATCTCTCCAATCTTATTGAGCGCTTCGAGGCTGAAGGTGACCAAGACGTTAGCAGATTTGGCGCAAACGTCTTAAAGCAGATACAAGATGAAAACGAGGCCGAATGTCCCATTTGCTGTGAAGAGCCTATGAACGAGCAAGCTGTCACAGGGTGCTGGCACTCTGCGTGCAAAGAGTGTCTGCTCAACTATATTGCCCACCAGCGCGACAAAAACGAAATACCGCGGTGTTTCAACTGCCGCGAGCCTATCAACGCGCGAGACGTTTTTGAAGTAATTCGGCATGATCACATCGCCGAAGACAACGAGCCCAATCATGCTTTTCGCCCTACAGATGCACCACAACTAACGTCCACACAAGCGGCACCACGCATCAGCCTCCGCCGTGTTGGCCTCACAGGCTCCGCCAAAACACAGGCGCTTATAGGTCACCTCAAGAGAACCCGCAAAGAAGAAAAGAACGCCAAAACAGTAGTTTTTTCCCAATTCACATCTTTCCTCGATCTTATAGAGCCTGCCTTGGCACGCGACCATATACCTTTTCTGCGTTTTGATGGCTCCATCACCCAGAAGGCTCGCGCGCAAATTCTTGCAGAGTTCACCACATCTCCGAAGCCGTATGTATTGCTGTTGAGTCTTCGTGCAGGCGGTGTAGGCCTGAATCTCACTTGTGCAAGTAAGGTATTTATGATGGATCCATGGTGGAGCTTTGCAGTCGAGGCTCAAGCAATCGATCGTGTTCATCGCATGGGACAGGAGCGGGAAGTGAAAGTTGTAAGATTTTGTGTCGAGGGAAGTATCGAGGAAAAGATGTTGAGGATTCAGGAGAGGAAAAAGTTCATGTAAGTTGTCGCTAAATCTCTTCGATTTTCATGTGCTGCCTCCATGTTGTCAAGTTTTGTCTTTGTGGAAAGCTAACATTCTTTACAGTGCGAGTTCGCTGGGCATGATGTCTGATGAGGAGAAGCGCGTGCAGCGTATAGAAGACATCAAGGAACTGTTGAGTTAAGCGTCAATGGATAGAACACTCGATTCTCAAACTCAACATATATTCTGTACACGAAATATGAATAACCATGCATATGCTCCACCAATTAACTTTTGCATACCTTTGTTTTCGGTTTTCCCACGTGATGTATGTATGTATCACCTGCTTGTGAAATCATTTCCCGAAGTGACGCCCTGTTCGCTCCATGATCGCATCTCCAATAAGACCAATGGCAAACTCCCTACTCCCCATCATTCTGGCCACTCATTATCAATGAACTTTGCCTCACACATCTACTCTCCATCATCTCCCAAAGGCACCCAAGACACCACCTCACTTCAACGCACTAGCCTTTCCGCATTCACCAAAGTCGCATGTATTCATTAAGTTCCTACATATTCCTACCCACCATTACACTTCACATATAATAACCATGTGTATCCATCCTTCCTTCAACATTACTCCACCAAACCCTTCAAACCAAAAGGAAAAAAAACATGTTTACTGCACTACTGCACTGAACTCCAACTCAAAACAACCCCAACCCCACCCCCGCCGCTCCAATCAACAACCCCGCAATCTTACCCGTCGGCACCGCAGCACCACCCGTGAACTCAGGCAGCAAACCAGAAGACTGTGCGGAAAACGAGGGACCGTCTTCGGTAGACGTCGTCGTGGTACTTGAGCGTGTGGAAGGCGGGGTGGAAATAATGACGGGTGGGATCGAGGAAGGACGAGGTTCTTCTTCGGGGGTGAGTAGGCTTGTTGATTTTGCGGACGAGGGGGGTGGAGGGGGACCTTGAAGTGAGGAGTCAGCGATGCTGAGTGATGGGGGGAAGGTAGTTGGAGTTGGTGGAGGAGCGGGACTGGGGGTTGTGGTGGAAGTGTGGGGTGGTGCGGGAGATGGAGATGGAGATGTGAGAGGCGTACGTGAACTGGATGGTGGAGGAGGTGGTGGTGATGGTGGGCTGGTAGGAGATGCAGTAGATGCCGGTGCAGCGGTTGTGCTAGCTGGAGCTGCAGATGTCTCCGTCACCACGGCGCTTTCGGCTATTGGTAGACGCCGGATTATAGTTGTTGCAGCGGGGACGCGGGACAGATACGTGGTAGAGCCGCGTGTTGAAGTCTCTGGATCCGCGGTGGTCCCTACAATGGGGTCGCAAGCACTGGATCCGATGGGCTGGCCGAGCTGTTGGATGACGGTGGAGAGAGTGTTCAGGTAGTTGACTACTGTAGGCGGTACTGAGGATTTTGGCTCTGGGATCTCGCTTTCTACAACGATGAGAGGCGGCCAGACTGTAGGCACTGGTAGTGCTAGAGTTGATGTCTCGCTCACGCATGCTGATCCGATTGGTTCGACTTCGATGCGGCTAAACGTTGCATAAGCAGCGTATACGGTTGGCCATGTCAAAGGTACGCCAGAGTAGTCCCAGGTTATGGTCTGACTTGGCGGTGGGAGCTCGTTTGTATAGAGTGTAGAGCTTACGTCTTCTCCAGCGGCGTTGGTGTAGATGTCGAGGGTCACAACAGGCAGCGATGTAGTCGAAACGACAACAGTTCCCGGGTAGCCCAGTCGCTGCGCCGTCACGTCGATTTGGCATGCGCTGGAGCAAGACACAGATGCTGAAGAGGTTAATGGGAGGGAGGGAGTCAGCGTCTCGGTGACAGTGGTTGGTTGAGTTAGAGTAGTGACAAATGACTGCGTGACCAAGATGGTAGAGACAGTAGTCTCAGCTGGCAATGTCAAAGTTGACACCAAGCTCGAGTCAGGAAGCAATACAGTGCTTGTTATTACAGAGGCCGGCAAAGTCAAAGTCGAGAGTAGTGTGCTTGTGGTTACACTTCCAGGCAGCTCACTCACTACAGTCGACGTTACAGCTGGTTGAGTTATGGTAGAGATGATCGTGCTTGGTGGTAATTGCGTAGTAACCACCGAAGTTCCTCCGGGGAGTTGGGTGACTGATGTAATAACTTCAGGTGGCAGGGTAAGTGTGGAGACAGCAGTACTCGCAGGCAATTGCGTGGTTACAATTGAAGTAGCTCCAGGTAGCTGAACAGTAGACGTCACGACTTTCCCAGGTAAAGTGATAGTGGAAAGCTGTGTAGTCCCAGGAAGTTGTGTAGTGACGGTCGAGAGGCTCCCTGGAAGCGTAAGGGTAGATGTAGTAATCTGACCCGGTTGTGTGTATGTATCTGTGATGGTTGTGGGCGGCGAGACTGACACGGAAGTCACAGTAGTTGGTGGCAGTGTTAGAGTTGAGACAGTCCTGGAAATTGTAGTGGTTGGAGGGAGTTGAGTCGTTACCGTAGACGTGATGCCGGGAAGCGTTATCGTAGTAACAACAACTTGGGGTGGCAATGTCAAGGTGCTAAGCTGAGTTGAAACTTCTGTCAAAGTCTCTACGACTGTCTCAGTTGGACCTGGAACTGTTATCTCTTGAGTTGGACCTGGTACGGTAACTTCTTGGGTCGGTCCTGGGATCTCCACAGTGAATGTGGATGTAACCAAGATCTCAGAGACGATAGTTTGAGTACTTATGCTAGTTGTACCTGGAACTGCGTTCTGTTAGGTTTCTTCGAATTTTCTTTTCAGGCCGAAGTACTCACGAGATATCGTTGTGGGAACAAATTCAGTTGTAGTCAACGTTGAAATAGATGTGGATATACTGGTGGTCCAGGAAGTCTCCGTCGTACCAGTGGTTTCTGTCGTTGTAGTTGGTTTAATGCTGATAACAGTCTCAGTCGATCCAGGCACGGAAATGGTTTGAACTGAGGTCTGTGTAGGGCCTGGTACTGATACAGTTGGCCCTGGTATTGTTTCAATTACAGAAATCAGCTCAGTCAGTGTGAGTGTTGCGGTTGTTTGCGAGACTACCGTTGTAGTGCTGATAGAAGTCGTTCCAGGTACTGTTTATTGTTAATTCTCCGAAGGCGATCTCGAAAAAAGCAACGAGCGGTTTATTGTACGTCATTGAGTCACTTAGCCACCTCCTGATGCTTGTGACGGTGCAGATGCAGCTCTCAATGAAACACAAGATAGGAAATATTTAGAGACGAAAACTCACATGTTATGGTTACTGTGTCAAAGAGAGTTATGGAGAAGGTGGTGAGCTAGAGGGGCAAAATAAATTAGCTTCATCAGAGGTTGGTGAGAGCTGGCCAAGTCAGCTTACAGAGGTGTATATAGATGTTGAAATGCTCGTGGTTGTGGAAACAAGTGTTTCAGTTGTGGTACCAACATCAGTCGTTGTTATTGGTATAGTTGTATACTCAGTCGTTGGTGTGTAGCTAATTTCAGTCGTTGGAAGGAGCTATAAAATTATCAGCCCGTTTCAAGAAACGGCAGTTCAACATGCAATAAATGAACCAGAACTTCATTGCAAAATAGGAGCTGATAAGTATAGACCATGGATAAAAGATTGGATAGCATATGTCAATAGGATGAGTTGTGAAGCACATACTGAAACGAAGGTCGAAATGAGTGTCTATTTGCGTTAGTTGATATCTTTGGAAAGGGACATGCAAACTCACAGTGGTTGTCAGCTCCGTCAAAGTCTTATTCACCGTTATAGTTGGACCAGTAGTATATTCTGTGAATGTGTATGTCGAAGTCTATCATATTTTGTTAGGCAATTCATCACCTAGATTGTCTGACGGCAAAATACCTCAGTTAGATTGAGACCTGGCTTTGTTATAGTTTCTTTTTCAGTCTTTACAGGTCAGTGAGGGTCTCAAATCGAGATTATGATGGAACGTACTTTTGTTGTTGTAGAATTTTTGGTCTCTGTAATAGTTACAGGAGGGCGAATAGAGCAAGATTTGACGGAAGTAACTGTGACAGTTTTCGCAGGGGGGCCGTATCCGCCACCATTGGTCACACTTGTTGTTTTTGTGACGGTAACTGTAATAGGCGGGGGAAGGACTTCGTAGCCTCTGGAAGGGGTTATGGTGGTCGTTACAGTCCTGATCGATGTGCTCGGGCGTGGGCTTGGGCAGGTCATGGGCGCAGTGACTGTGGTTCTTATCGTAGATGTAGAAGGCCGCCCATAATCGTACACCGTGGTGGTGGTCTTGCATGTATCCGGTGTCTGCCCATAATCTTGCGCGTGGATCACTTCTTCGGAAGGGTTGGTAGATAGCGATACAGCCTTTGATGGTTTCTGAGCATCCGGCACTGTATTGCTATTCTGTGCGCCAGCTATACAGGTCAATGCCAGAAACAGTGGCCAGTAGTTGCGCATCCTGAAGCGAAAGACTGGTGGTTTGCCTGAACGAGTGGCTAGCGTATGGAGCCTAAGATATTTGTTTGAGAAGATTAACGTAAACTGCTTGGACAAGACGATCGTGGGCGCAACTACAAATGGTACAGAGCTCTAGCCTTCTAAAGCGAGTGCAAGGCTGAGAAATAGTACGTTGTGTAGGAGCCTCAAAAAACACGGGATATCGAATACAGAAGAGGCAGCTATGGAGAGAAATAAGAATCTAAACCAATCAAAGCATGGCGTACCTTTTTACAGGGTCAGAACTGGAAGGTGGGAGACGAAAAAGATTGACGGCTAAGGATGGTACAGCACGATGACGAAGCTAACAGAATTCCTGAATACTCCGAGAGCTTACGCCTGCGCCAAGGAGGCTGGGAATACATGAGCTTGGCTCGTGTGCCTGTATACTAGGACACGTAAATGTAACACCGGAAACAACATACCCAAACGGCAGGTGGGTGTCTCCCTCATGGCCTACTACTGAAGAGAGTACAGAGCCCGGCGCTGAACTGATGGTAAACCGGTCAATCATTCCACGAACACTGTCAGCATCATCATGCTCCGGTCAAAGGCCACCACTCCAGCCATGGATGCAGATTAAAATTACGATAGTAGTGGCTGCCATTTCTAAACGCCAGAACAGATCTTACACACACAGGCACGACAAACATCAAGAAACAGGACACTTGCTGCGAGGGATCTAGAGCCAAGTCATGGATGCAACCCACGGTGAACGCTGACATGGACTATATTGAAGCCGCATATAGTTAGCCCTCGACCGTAACTAGAATAGTGATCTGCAGCTGTTCATCAAAAGAAATGCGGCTTGACGCCAGGGAAGGCTGAGATGAAGGAGGTGCGGGCCAGCCTGACAGTGGGGCAGAAGCCATGACTGAGGACATGGTAACACAAGGGCGGCCCTTACAGCTTGGCTGATGCCTCCGCTTAATGCCATACTACTTGGGTTCACTAGCCAGGAGCACTTGACAGGAGCACGATAATGCATGCTTGTTGCTCCAGCTTCGGATGGATGGATGGATGGATGAAGCCGTAGTATATAGCCGCAGCAAAGTCGTCATGAGGAGGGCATGGTGCAAGGCATACAGTGTCAGGCGAGGTGCATGCACGTAAGAAGCTCGGTCCGTGCGCCACGGGAGAGTGGGGCGGCACCTAGCGCGATTGCGGCCTTAGCTGCCGCTGTGAAGGAAGCTAGCACGGCTTGAACATGCTCGTCCAGTCAATCTTCAACGCCTCCTGCACGCCTCACACACACCTACTTACTCACATCCCTCGCTCAAGATCTGCCTGCCCAGCCATCTCAACATGTTGCCTCCCATAGCCCTGGCCCACACCAGCCTGCTTCTAGGCTCACCATTTCTTCGTTGTTGCTTCTCCCCCAATGAGAACCCTGTAATTAGTTGCCACCCAACCCATACCCTTTGTTCGGCGCCGCCACGTCGAGTGTTATTTTGATGTCTTCAAATGCGCTAGGCAAGCACATCATGTCCTTTGGGTGCTGTACCTCAACCCCGCGTCGAGCACAGACACCAGCCTGGCTGCAGAAGCAGACTGGCTTGATGTGCTTGCAACAGCCAGACGAATCCATGATTAACCGCCCCAAGCAGCGGTCATTTGGAATCAGATACTAATCCCTATTGAGGGCTCATAACCGTCAACCAGCAGCTTCCGATGTCATTGCCAGCCATTAAGCCGTCTATGAGGCTTTTCATGGCTGGGTCAGACGACTGACACTTTGTTGGCATGCCTTGCCCACGCCGCCTTTTCTTGATTGAGAGCCTTCGTTATCCATTCCATATACCCACTCTGGATATGATATTACAATGCGACACTCAGCAATGCACTTCCAAAAACGCGACGAGCCGCTTCCACTACCACCAGCCCCATACGTTCTAAGTGATAGTGGAGTATTCGACGGCATCGACGGGAAATGGTCAACATTCCTTCTGAATATTGGAGATGATGGCTCCGGGAGAGGCCAGAACTTCAGGGTTCTCATTTCTACTTCATCTCCAGTCGTCCTGGTTCCTGGACGAACTGAATGGTGCGATGACGATGACTGCGCTAAGAAGCGTGGGCTTGAGCTTTACGACGGAAAGCAGCCTCTCGGGCTACAGGACTCGGCGCAGTGGCAAGACTCCGATATTTACAACGTACCTCAGCCGGATTGGTGGAGTGACTCATATAGAATTGATCAGAGCGACTTGAATGGTGTATGGGGAGTTGATAACGTGGGTCTGGGGGCAAGCTCTCCAAAAAGCCTCATACTAGCCGAACAGTATGTTGTCAGGAGCTTGGTAAAGGATTTCTTCATGGGCTCTTTTGGACTCGCTGTGGGAGCCGTTGGCCCGCCTGGTGGAGACAAACCAAATTTCCTGGACAATTTCGAGGCTGCAAATGAGATCGCAAGTCGTTCATATGGATACACCGCCGGTGCATACTATCGTGAGTTATCCATTCTTCCATATTCCATGACAATGGGATATTGCTTTGCGTTTATTTTGACTATACATCATATGCGGCTTGATGACTGACGGGTCGAGATGGGCTAAAATAGTATAGGAAACAACAACAACGGAGTCCCAGGAAGCCTGGTCTTAGGCGGGTACGATGAGTCACGATTCAAACCGAAAGGTACCTCCATACGCATGCCGAATGACAAGAACAACGCGCTTGTTGTTGGAGTACAGTCTATTCTTTATGAAATGGATCCAGATGTTGAGACAAATACAGTGAGATTGACACCTAGTGGAGGATTCTCTGCTACAATAGATTCGACACTGCCTTATCTCATCTTACCGGATGATGTTTGCGACGAGTTTGTATCAAAATTTCGTCTGGAGTTCGATGAAGACAGTCGGTTGTTTCTTGTCAACTCTACTTCTCACCAGGCCAACCAGCGCGAGAATGCTACCGTTTCCTTCAAAATTGGGTCAAGCCCTTCTGACAGCGACATCTTCACTTCCATCGTCTTACCATATGCAGCGTTCGACCAACAGGCAAGCTTTCCTCTACCCGTTTCCAACGACAGCACGCCGTACTTTCCGATCAAAAGATCTGAGAACGGTAAATTTGTGCTGGGTCGCACATTTTTGCAAGAAGCATACATTATCGTCGACTACGAAAGGACCAATTTTACAGTCGCACCAGCAGTATTTGCTGACCCTATGCCTACCCAGAGACTTGTCACCATATTCAACGAGTCATACACTGGACTACCTTCTCTCGCAAAAAAGGATTCTGGAGGGGAGCTACCCACTGGCGCAATTGCGGGAATTGTTGTGGGAATTGTTATAGTTTTCGCTCTCGCTGCTGTTGGTGTATTCATTTGGTGGAGGAAACGCCGTGATCTAAAGAAACATGGACTTGAAAGTGAAAGACCCTTGGAGATAGACACAATCCATGCCGGCACGGAGGTCAAGTACCGACGCGTTTCAGAGCTTACCGGATCTGAAGGTCCGCAATCACCAAGAGGCTCGTCGCTAGGTTACTACGGTCCAGATCACAAGTCGATACCCCCAATTTCCGAGATGTCACCAGAAAGCCCCCCCTCCGAGCTTTACAGTCCTCCACCTGAAGGCCATGACGGTGTCGATTATTTTGCTTCTGCCGAGGCAAGACGGCAAGGGGCAATACGAGATCGCCGCTCTCCAGGCATGAGCACACCGCAAACGCCTATTATTGCTGAACTTCCTGGAGAAAGCATTAGATACGAGACTTCTGCGGATGAATCGAAGCCGACACAAAGACCTCCACATAGTTGTAGCCCGAGTGATAGTTCACTTGGTACCAACATTGATGCAGTGTTGGCGAACGATCGAATGGCCAGTCCTAGGAATGGATCGGATGTTGATGACGCGGCGGTGGAGCCTTATTCACCAAATACTGTTGAGGAGGAAGCAGGTGCTAAAACGGTGGGACCAGACGAAGATCATGGCTCTGCTGAGCAGTCAGCTGTCGAACGGCGACCATCGCATTCGAGAGGGCTGAGTGACACTACAATCCAAAGCGAAAGCACAGCAGTGTCGCAGCCCACACAAGAAGAGCTGGATCGCTGGGCAAGGACTGGAGAGGATGCACAGCGACCGATGTCTCCGTAATATACAGCGATCTCAGGACCCCCTCGCTGAACTTTGAGAATTTTGCAAGCAACCTTTTGTTTTCGTATCTTCTTCGCTCTGTGAACACTTGTGTAAACCAAGATACCCACTTGTACATTCTTTACATCTGGAACATAATCCCCTATTCTCTTCACAGATAGCAGGGCCGCAATACCATGTCGCATCATATTCATGTAACCACGAATTCTCTTTAAAACTCCCCATATACCATAAGCAAACTCTCCCACTCACAAAGGTTACGCGTCTGACTCCTCCCCGTAAGCCAAACTCCAACTTAAAAAGTCACAGACTTCACTGCGTCCCCTCCCTCCACCCCCAGTCCCTCAAAAATCCCTCTCTTTCTCTCTCTCTCTCTCTCTCCTCTCATCATACCGCACCACACGCGCACGCGCACCATACCCACCATGTACACCGCCACAACCAACTGCTGACCACCCACTCCCTCTCCCCCAACACTCCAGCAAACCAGCACAAAAAAGCTGCATACAGCCTAGTCTCCCTCGAGTCTATTCCGCACTGCCGCTAGCGTTCCTTTGTTCGCATATCCCCCTCCATTTCTTTGTTTACTGGTTCGGCAATAAACCCAGAACCAAAGGTTTTTTTTAGCATTGCATTGGACTAGGGGGGAGGGGGGGGGGGAGATTATTTTAGCCTTGCCAGGTTTTCCGGCCCCCATATCACACATTGGATTTCTTGGATTAGAGCCTTGTACATTTTGCACAAGGTATGCACAATAATGTTAGGACTGGAAAAACGTGGTAATAGGTAAAGCCGGGGAAGAGAACGTTTTTTTACTTCTTCTCTTTTAACGGGCATGATTATTCCAAATGCAAACATGGCACAGCAGCATCGGTTGAAATGCCGGCCTGATTGAAACAAAGCCCGACCGCGTTCATGCGTGAAATGTTCCGCGGATCAGTAACATCGGTATAAGCGTTGAACCCGCCATTCAGTCTGCATGCACGAGAGTAAGAATTGGGGGCGGTTGTGCGGCGTATCGGGTAAGGCGAAAAGTGGGACGAGCTGCAATATCCTCCGAGGAGGCGAGGCGACCCAGTCTAGACGACGCGGACTTTGTAAGCGGATATGAAGTTCACAAACGCCCTCTAGGCACATATGCGTATTTACTCGAGGGGAAAAAATAGAACAATGCACGAGCATAGTTCTAGGCAGGCCAAGTGTGGAGATGTTGTTGTTCCAAGGGAAAACAAGATTGGTATTTTGCGGGCTGGATATCACGCCACAATGACATCTGGTCATGGCATTTCATTACTGCTCTATATTCAGCCTGATTAATGGATTAACCGGTGTACATAAATATGCACACCTGAGGAAGTCAACCGCCAGGACAGCGAGAAATGCCCCGAAGCTTTAGTGCCGTTGAAGGGTCGCTGCGGGACCATGGCACGGTTTTGCGCATGTGATCGTTTTGCGCCAGGCACTCATTCGATACAGCTCAACTACAGGGTTTCTGGCTGGACATGACAGGTCTGGCTACAGATAGCGTGATGTTATAATGGCATGTCGTATGCACACTCAAACATCGTGGTCTACAGTATTATTACCCATATGTACCTTGGGTGTCTTGTCTTGCTCCGCTAACGTCACCACAAAATTGTGTTCAGGAGATGAATGGTTCGTCATCTCAGTGGGCACAGTGTGTCCAGGGTGTGTTTGTCGATAAGCCATGTCAGGTGCGGGTCGCTGCGGATAAAGTACCCCTCCTGGTGTTGCAGCACTATTTTGACGCCGCATCAGATTTGCGAAGAGATCGAAAGTCGCGTTCGAGTTGAGAAACGACAGCGGCCATTGAATGGCAGGAACCCAGGTTTGATCAATGGATTCGTGGCATGCCTTTAGTACTCGCTGGCCCCAGTTTTTCATGAACCAGTATCGTGGTTCGGCGGCTAGGAGAACAGTGGAATAATACATAAGAATGACTAGCGCACCTGGTCTTCGTTGCTGCAAAAGACCCATAAAATCCGCACTGATATGTAGTGGCCAGAAAAACAAGAAGCGTAGTTCTCGGTTGTCAACCTTGGGAGGCAGCGAGATACTTAAAGCAGGGTCAAAGTGTGCCACTGTGGCCAAGTAAGTCGCCCTTTCACTCTCAGGGAGATCATGTTTGTTGCGGATGAAACCGACTAGTGCAGGGGTTTGTTGTAATAACTCCAACAATAGTGGTTGGGAAGGGGTCACCTCGGATGGGTCTCTGACTAAGGGCCCAAGGAATGAGTCAACAATGGCGGCTTGTGCAAGTGCCATGACGTTACCCATACCCTGCATGAGATAAAAGCAGTTGAGGAGACCTTCAATAGCACACGGTGGTATAGCACTGAGATTGTGCTCAGCCTCAAAGCCTGATGAGGCAAATACACTCAGGGTAAGTAAGGTTGCTGTGGCTACTATAGCTGCGGCTTCTTGAGGGGCAGTAGCGGCAATATTTTTTCGCAGCCCTCTTATGGCACAATCCTGGTGATGTACTCCAAAAGCGTAATACTCGTGGCGTAGTTCTTGCTGCTGCTCCTTGTCGGCTTTGGAGAATGCAGCGAAAGCCAGCATTTCGTGCATCAAGTAGGGGTGTGAGACTGCATACTTTGGAGCCTCGACTTGCCACATATGGCAAATATCGCTTCGATGTGTGAGCTCTTGGTGGGCTTCGGTGGTCCAGAAATGCCTGCAAAAGATGAGTCGGCATGTCTGGTTGGGTGAGGTCGACGGTTGGTCTTACAGGAGCTCCAGGTCACGCAACCAAAGGTCTGCTTGGGGGATCTCATTGCGGTGTATAAATCTTGATAGAAACAGATACTGGTCTGCCTGTGACTCTGGCGATGAGCCTTCGGATATGGCTGCGTGTTGGCTGGTGTGAGAGTCTACGCGGGAGGGAGGCGTTGCAGATGCCGACGACGCCTGTTGGCTGGTCAGCAACGATATCCAAAGGCATGGCGTCGATGTGCGGGTCGGATCGTACGGCTATGGGTCGCTCAGACGGGGACGACTGGTTGGTGCGCCGGGGAGTAGTTGCAGCGGAACCTGCCGCGAGGGAGGAGGGTTGGGGCGTGTTGGGATCCCAGGTAACAAGGCTACACGGGACGCCATGACGGGCACAGTTTGAGCACGGCTTGAGCTCGTCACACTGGAATCTATCTTAGCAATGATCTTCTTGGATCAGTCCACCATGCTCCGCCCAAGTTGGTCTGGCGTACCTTCACGTGGCGAGCCTTGCACTGTCGACAGCCCAGGCGTGATCTGTCATACACATTTTAGCGTAGTTCAGTGCCAATAATAGCCCCTGGTATGGCCAGGACGGTGAAACGGGATGAGGTTATTGGTGTGTGTGTGCGGGTGACGAATAGACGGGTGGGGGGTTAACAAGTACGGACTTCTTGTGCCCGAGGCGTGGCATTGGAGGAGAGCAGCACGGCCAGGGACCGGGGCGTTGGGCTGCGACAGTTGACCGCTCGCTCACGAGAGTGTAACGGACCTACTCTACTGGACGTGTCGTCAGACCGTTGATTGAGGCAAGAAAGCGAATGCGACGTGGAGGAACACGGGAGGTGCTGTCTTGGTGGAGCGTGGGATCTTTGCGCGCGCAGGGATAAGCACACACTATCCCCCTTCCATCGCACGATATGCACCCGAATAGAATCTCGGCGAACAAGTGGAGCTCGCATTCGCATTCCCGCCCTCGTCGTCGACACATAGCGCTCCAGCGCGCCATCACCACTGGCCCGCCGATTTCCATCGCATCTCGGGCACTATCCACGTGCAGCGGCTCGTTCCATCACATCTGGAGTCCTCTAATTATTACTTACATATGTATACAACTCCTCTGCACATCGCCCCGCCCACCCTGCCCCGGCCTGGCACCCTGTGTCTGTCCCAATATCATGCAGAGACGCTCCATGCCGCTCTGCCCTACATTACACGCGCACACAGCGCCGTCCAGCATCATCACATGTTGGCCGTCTAGATGACCGCTAGATCAACAGCTACTGCGTCCGCATATGCTCCAGACCGTTTGCGTTTGTGTTGGGCGGTCGAGAAAAAGCAAACCACGCTCGCAACGCACGCTACGCCCATGGCTTCATGTATGCTCTCAAGCCGCGAAACCAACTACCTCGAGCAAGAGACTGGCTGGCGTGCAATCGAGACGACTAGCCTAGACGGCCTCATCGCGATCCCGCGTTACGTCCAGACGAACCGGGGAATAAACGGCCCCCCACAGCTGGCTGGCCTCCATGGAACCGATTTGTATTCCATGCGACTCTGTCCATTAGATCTAGTGGTTACCTCAGCCAAGACGGTCTGATGTACATATGACGGATTCTACACAAAGTGTGTGCTGGTGGGAATGTCAGATACCAGAACACACTTGTGGGGGTAACGTTTTCCAGAAGCACCAGGAAAGATGAATATTTGGAATATTCCAACTAGTCTCAGACATTGATTTGACAAATCCACCGACAGCGTATCAGGTGTTCCAGTGTGGCGTAGGAACTGTCGTTAGTCTTGACCACACCGTTGCGGCTGTAATGAACATGGAATAAGAGCTTGGCAACGTTAACCCTCAACAGAACCCCTAGCCTGTATTGAAAACCTATCGCAAATGCGAAGGTGTCCGACGGGTGATGACAGTGAGATTTCTCTGGAGAAGTAGAAAATGCTCAGCTATCTATACCTGCTACTGTTAGATACTGCTGTTCTGCGTAGTATGCACGTACAGTTGCGAGGTCTATGAAGACCCCCAGTCCATTCCTAATGTCGTGAATTTCTTTTACAAGACTTGCTTCCGGACAGCCAGCCCATGTCTTCGCAAATGGAAAGCGGCTAGAAGCCTTCGAGACTGCCAGCTGCCATGAAGCCAAGTCGAGAGGGGGTTCAGGGTACATGAATCGTTTGAGGGCCAACTCGGCTCCCGTATTGATTCACACTACACGAGAGTCCAGTCACGTGGGGGCCAAGTCGAAAGTGCATTATTTTAGCGTGTTCATAGCACAGGTAAGTATATGTCAAGCTCCAGCGTTGACAGGATGACAGGGGAGCGGTGTTGGGCCTAGACTGCTGCCTATCGATAACGTACCTTTGCCTAGGCCCACCCGGGTCACATGCCTTCAACTTCATCCAACGACAAAAGATGCCTAGTCCACTAACAACGGTACATGGTCGTATAGCCGCGAAACTTAGTGCATCTGCAAATGAACCGTATTCATAATATTCGCTTACTTCAACATGTAATGTGACCGCGGCTGCGACCGTACCTCGTCTTAGGTACTAACCACCTACCAGGAACGCCAACAGTAGTAGGCGCAATGGAAAGCCCGCCTCTTGTGAACCGTGCAGGCTGAACAAAACAAAATGCGATCACGGCCATCCGAAATGCGACAGATGCCGACAGCGTGGAATCGAGGACCGCTGCTTCTATCACCCAGCACCTCTAACCAGACCGCGTCCCGTGCCAGATGAGTCAGAAGCAGGCGCGTCTCGTCCTCCCAAGCGAAAGTACACAAAGACTGCGACTGATGTCCTCAAACAATGGCTAATATTTATAGCCGCTCATCAAAGAAGAATAACGATCCCGTTGCTGTTTTCCTGTCGCCTTCATCCCATGGAGACAAGCTCGCCGATGCCGTTGCTGCTGATGTCTATCACCCAGGATTTCTCGGCCCTGGCTCTTACGCCGTTTTGCTTGCTCAGGACGAAGAGCCGGGCCAACTACCTGAGCGCGAAGGATCTGTCGCATCAGAGAGATCAGATCGGGAACTTACCCACCAGCACACTTTGTCCAAATCAATGAGATATCAGATGGCGCATGATGTGCTAAGCACTTTTCGTCATTACGACATAATAAAAGAGCTTGTGCTCTGGTACAACGCGCGCAACGAAGCAGGTGTAATACCGGCACCAATAGGGGTTGACGCCGTAAACGCACTGGAAGCTGTCGTCGATAAGCACGATCTCCGACGCAAAGAACCAAGCCCGGAGCTGATAGCCCAGGTTCTGGAAACTACTGCGCGCCCTTTTACAATATCTCAGTCCCTACAGGCCCGCGATCTTCACATACTATGCTCAGGCGAAAATCTTCGTCTCGAATACATTGGTTTCTTGCTCGCCACTGCTGGTCGCTCGCTCACGTTCGGTTTCGGACCAGAGTCATACAGCGATGTGAGTAACAAAGACATGAGGCTGCGCTTTACCGACGAGTTGCTTCGTGCAAGTACGACCTGCCTGTTCCTTACCACCATGCTTGCTACAGTCAATGACCTTACCGTATGGATGTACTATGAGAACTACATGTTTACAGTCATGATGTGCGGATATGCTGGTAAGTGTCATCTCGACACTTTTTTAAGCATGGCTAACGACCGTAAACCTAGGACCGCCTGCTTGGAGACGCATCGGGGAGTTGGCAACCCAGATATACGCGCTCGGCATCCATCAAGATAGAAAGTGCGCCCAGGCGCCAACTTGGTTGGCAGAAACTCGCCGCCGCCTCTTCTGCGCGGCTTACAACCAAGACAAATCCATTTCCACGTTCCTTGGTCGCCCTGTAAGAATCAGCAAGAGACATACCGATATCCACCTGCCGCTTGATTTAGCTGATGACGAAGTAACGGGCAACGAGGAAGTACTCAACGCGGCCATACAAGCTTTGGGCCCTGATGGCTGGAACACCAAAGGCAAATGGCTTCGTGCGTCATGGATTGTGAGTAAGTCGGCTTCGCTCAAGATCAATCAAATTCATATGTTTCTAGCGTCTGCGCCAAATGTCTCTCGAGTTTCGTGAAGAGATACTCGAATTTTCCTTTGTGAAGATCGACGCAAATGCAGAGGCTCAACTTCTGTACGGTTTCTTCGGTACCATTTCTGTGCTTTCACTAACACGTTTTCAGAGACATATCTCAGCGCATAGGTACATGTTGGGATATGCTGCCAAAGCACATGCGTTATTGGAAAACATGCTGGGACGACGATGTTCCCACCAAAATCTGCTTGATGCTGTGCATCGTGCATCTTACCCACTGGTATAACGAATTTATGATCCAGAAACTGCTTGACTACAGCCCTTTGACACTTAACACGGCGTTACTGCGGGTTTCAATTGACTTACTGTCCAACACTCTCACTTTGGGTACAATACGCGATCGTTCGTATGATGTTCACCGCGACATGCTACATTGTGTGCTGCTCTTTGGGATTCCAGCTGCCTCAGTCCTAGCTACAGCCCTTCGTGAGCAACACCATACAGGCCAGCAATTTCCTTCTGGAATCTCGCGATCGGAAATTATCCGCATGCTTAGCGTGCTCATTTCGCATCTCGATGCTGCTGCGCATATGGAAAACTCTGGAGCGAGGCATGGCGAAGCAAACTACAATTTATGCCGCAAGGCGAGTAAGATTTTCACAAAGGTCATCGACACGGTGTTGGATCCAAAGGCTGTGGAAGAGATCACGCCAGCCAGTGATCAGCTAGGAACGGACCTTGGCTTGGATCTATTCTCTGGTGCTGGGTTAAATGGTTTCGAGGGAATGGATTTTCCTGGGCTAGGACTTGGCCCTAGCACAAGTGGAGGTGTCATTGATGCTACTAATGTGGATTGGGGAGCTCTTGGACAGTGGAATGCTTGGACCTGACCTGTGTAAAGCACTTCACAGCGGTTTTCATATTAATTTCACGACCTAGCCTACTTAATAACGCCTACAGCCCATAATTCTAATATGAAAATCATTTTGAGCATGAAAGAAGAACATAGCCTCTGTTCTTTTAGTTTTCCAACGCGGTTGTTCTCTTGATAGTCGTGAAACGGAACCCAAAACCAGCAAGGAATGCTGCACCGCTAAACGCGATGGCAACGATGATCGTGCCCCTAAAACCTGACACGTATGCCCTGAGTACTCCCTCGACAAACTCAGCTGGAACTCTATCTCTGATCTCGCTGGCGCCAGCTTCAAGGACCAAAGCGGGGTTTAGTCCGGCTGCAGTGACAGCCAAGCGCTTGAGAAGGATGTTCTGGAACGCGGTCTGGGCAGCCGAAACACCAAAGGCACCTCCCAATGTCTGGATGACTGTTTAAGAGATTAGAGATACATTTCAAGAGGGTTATGATGGCCTTCGACTTACAAAGAAGCGTTGCTGTTGTTAGGGGTACGTCGGCTTCCTTGGTCGTAGCTTGAATGAGCATGACAGGGACTTGGAAACTGGCGCCAACACCCAATCCTGCAAGGATCTAAAAAATTGATATCAACAAAGGAATTCAAAAGGGCAAAGAGCGGTGTCCGTACCTGGTAGCCAATCCAAGTTCGAGTTGGAGAATCGATATCAAAAGTGTAAATTAAGCCAGAGCCAATGGCCGTGACACCGGCGCCAATGATCATCCATGGGAAAGCATATCCGGTTTTCGAAATGATTTGACCGACAACGACGACACAAAGCGCTGGCGGTGTGGTTAGTGAGAGCTTGAAGGGGATGGGCGGGCACACTCACTGACTGCGAGGATGTACGGCACAGTGCGGACACCACTAGTTGATGCCGAGACACCTTGAACAGACTCTGTTTCTTGTTAAAACCAGTGCCGTTCAATTTAGTTACTACAGAAATATACTTACGGAAGTAAATCGGGATATAGTAGAACGTAATTGAAAATGCAGCGTTGATCCTGGCAGAGGTTAGCATCGGACTCACATCCCCTCGATCTTAGACCAAACTTACAAGAAAGAGAAGGTCGATCCAACAGCGACTGTACGCCTCTTGATGATACGGCTGTGCACCATGGCGTTCTCGCCCTGCCACCACTGCGCCACAATAAACAGCACGATGAAGATGACAAAACCCACGAGCGTGCCAATGACTGTGGAGTTGCTCCAGCTCTTTGTTGTGCCACCCCACTGCATAGCAAGAATGAAGCACACGACCGCACCGATGATGAGAACAACGCCGATGATATCCAGCTGACGGAGCATGCCACGCCAGTCAGGACGACTCTTCGGTGGCTCGTTGACGAAGAACAGGAGAATGAAAAGGCAGGATACGGCACCAACAGGAAGGTTGATGTAAAAGCTACACAGTCACTCAGCCAAGCTTCTCAAAAAAAAAATTTAGATGAAGAGAGAGAGAGATCACTTACCACCATCGCCACGACACGTGGCTCGTAAAAGCACCTCCAATCAACGGTCCAACCACGCTAGCAAGACCATATGCCGCACCCATGAGCCCACTATACTTTGGTCTCTCAGCCGCCGGAACCAACACAGCAATAATAGTATATGAGCCCGCAAACAAGCCCGCAGCACCAACACCGCAAATCGCACGGC